GACGCGACAACTTGATGAGGCAGCTCCACCCACTCAGTTTTTTTCCAAACCAAGGAGCTTGCCACCTGAATTATGCAGAGAAAGAAATACCAAAAGCCAAATATAACATATATTGTTTAAACAACTTTATAAAAGATATTGAGTTATACAATTTGCGTACTAAGAATCTGTAAATATCACTCATTGCGAAATGGTTTTCAGGATTGTTATGAAAGTGTAATTCCCCTATTTTCTCTGTGCACTTACACAATACAAACGACTGGGACTCATTTAAGTGGCAACTTAAATGCCACGCACACTTGCGGAAATGATGCTGACTCCCAGAGCTCGGTTATCACAGATTCGGTGCGAGAATGGGCACAAAATGGTGGCAAAGGATTGCGGCCTGGCAGCTTGTGGTAATCAGCATTAAAAATCAGCATTATCATTGCAAAGGCGGCAACGGCGTCTAATGGCGTCAACTCCAAAGAGGCAGCGGGCTGGGAGTTGGGTATCCTTAAAGTGACTGGCGTTTCATTAGCGAGTCAAGTTGATTGGCTTTCGAGTTGGGAGCTTTCTGTTTCGAGTTTGCTGCACAAACAGGCGTTGCAGCTGCAGTTCGAGGACGTAATCAAGATGAAATTAAAGCGCAAAGTTTGCTTTAAGTCGACTCGTGCAGTGGCCGACGCTAATTAGATTTTTTAGTTCGACTTAGCAGTTGGCCAGGACCCACTGCTCGCTTTCTTTGCTCGCATTTCATGCAAATGAATGAAATTAAAAGCACATTATACTTTATAATGCGCCCTGATTTGTGATTTGCCAACCAAGCAAATTTAATTTAAAGATTTGCCAAGCCACCCATACAAATGTATGTATCTTTAGACTTATCAGCACTTAGGCAGCCCCTAGATAACCGCAGTGCCAAATTGTGGGCATAAGTGACTCTCGAGAGCACATAAATGCGGCAGGGAGCCCATTGATTGGGTTTTAGGGGACGGCCTTGATCAAAGTCATAAGTCAGCGGCATACAAATCTCCATGTAAATATCCTTTCACAGTTGAGTTGTCCTTTTCGGACATCCCGGGATGGCACAGCACGTCTAGGCAACTGGATTATTAACATTTCAATATAATTTGTGGGCCTGCCTTCATATTCACTGAACGAGGATGGGAATGGGGATGGGAATGGGGAAGGGCAGCCCTAACTTTTCCTGCTGACGTCTGGGAAAATTAACGCGCCTCAGGACTTTGATCCTTTTTTATATGTGTATACATGACAGAGGGAGCCCGCTGCGTGTTGGGCCCGTATTTGCTTACATATTCATCAATTTTTGGGTTAAGTTGTGGGCGGTCTCAGGCATCCGGGTATCCGGGTATACGGGTATCCGGGCTGGGTTCAAATGTATCTGAATGCGAATGGATGCTGGGGCGGCCAGCACGTTTTGCGGTTGCTGGCGTCAAATTGTTTTGCTTGTTTGGGGCTTTCAGTGTCACAGCGGGACGATATCAGTGCGCAGTCGGTCAGCTGGTGGTTTTTTGACCGCCGGCTAAACGCTTTTAGCCTTAATGCACTGCCCACTTAGTTTGGGCAGTTCATAATTGCCATTACGCATACGCCGCGTGGTCGCTTACAAAGTGAATTGCGAAATGAGATTGCCGGGGTCGGTCAATAAAACATTAGGGCCCACGGATCGATGCGACTGGGACACATACATCTTGGCAAGGCCGTGGGCAGCAACTCACTCCCTGGGGGCTGATCAACCAGCCAGCAAGGCAGCCAGCAAGGCAGCCAGCCACATCCTGCCCGGAATCGTGTCCTCGATGGGGTTGCGTGTAATTAAGCGCTGCAGCTTATGTAAGACAAACAGGAAATAAGGTTTAGCACAAACGCATAAATAACAACGGCAAATCAGTAAAGCAAGGCAGCAGGCAGTGGGTAACATAAATAAAGGCATACAAACAATGAAAGCGGATAACATAAAATTTACAACAACTAAAGCCAACAAACAGGAGCCGCCGAAGCAGGCAAGACAAGTAGAAGTGTATAGTTATGCACTGGGAGAAATAAACACAAGAAATCTTCCAAAATCAAGTCTTTCGTCCAAGCTATACATTTAAATCGGTTTAATTGGCTTTCTGGGAAAGTATATCAAGCGAAACAAAATTGCTGATACCGCAGGAATGATTTTTATCAGTGCTCCAATGCCCCACACACATGGACGCTGGTGTACGCCCTGAGTAGCTGCCGTCTTTAATCAAATGGCAAAAGGAGGTGTGGCAAGAGGCACTGCTGACACACTTTGTCCAAAGGCGACTCACAGTCCCCGCCGGCTGAATCACCTGGCTGACGACGATGTTAACGCTCTCGCCCAGAAAGTCCGGGAGGTTGGTGGGTGAAGTAAGTCAGGAGGCCAGGAGACCAGGTGAACGGAAAGGGCCGGGTGCCTCCATGGCAAATATACAAAACACTTGTAACTGCCGTGCAGCTAGCAAGGATTTATGATTAATTTATGGGCACGTGTGTGAAAGACAACGACAACGACAACGACAACGGCAACGACAGTGGGCGACTGTAACGATGGCAAAAACTTAATTAACTCATTACATACGCACCGTTTTAATCAGCAAACGAGCCGAGCTGCGGCAGCGGCAGCGGAAGCGGGCGAAAGAAATGAAAAGCTGCCATCGCGCTTGACATGCTGACACCGAAGGCGGCGTGGCAGCTGGGGGGGGGGCGTGGCAGTGGGGCAAGAACTGCCAATCGAGCCCGCGGCTCAGTGCAAATTTAAAGCGGCCTTTGACTGCAATTAGTGGCTGCCTCGTTTGTCTGTCTCACACACAGTCAGCGCGAATCTCACGGATACGTGCGAGAGTAACGTTACATACACTTGGCGGGTTGCGTGCCAGTGCTGTTCGCCTTTTTGGCCAGCCAGGCGAAAGCATTTCACCTTTGAGCCAAGTGTGCGAAAGGGGGTGAGCCCCCACAATTGATTTACAATAACCCCAACTACTCGAGCCGAGTCAAGCCGCCTCAATGTACTAAGCCGCGCTCGGCTCCGCCACTGCGATTACAATGGGCTCATTAACGGTGGCGTATACGCAATTCGCAATTAAATAAAAAGTGGCCACGTACACACAAACGCGAGCACTGCGCGAAAAAGCTGTGCAATTTGATGCATTCTATAAACAACACTCTTTCAGCTTTCAGCATTAATACCTTCGCAATGGGCGCTTACTATTTTAGTGCTTCTGTTCCAATCTGTGTAATTTCTCGCAGTGCACCCCCTTGGTATATTTGTACACGTGAACACGCAGAGATTTACTCGTTTGGTTTGTGTTTTTAAAAGGCCAACAGGCCGCAGTCAGAACGAATCTACTTATTCAGCCCGGCCAGGATCCCGCGCCTTAACGTTTCGCCATCAGTTCCGCTGGCTCTGGGAAATTCCTTTTAATATTTATTTAACACAAAAGCTTTCCGCATTTCGCATTTTGCCTTCGCTGCGGCCGCGCCGACGACGTTGCCGTTAATTTTTCGCTTTGCTTTTCATTTTCGCAAAATTACCGGAAATGTTAATTTCTGCACGTGCAGCAGACAAGGCCGTTGGGTGGTGGGTGGTATAATGGGTGGGTCTGGGCCACGCCCAGCGGCGTTGTCAGCCTCGAATGTCGTCGCAGTCGTCAGTGGCCCCAGCTGAATAGTGCTAATTATTTAGGGTAAGAATTCACTGTGTGTTTGTGTTTGCGCAAATGGGAAGGGGCGTCGCTGGGCTGACCCCCGAAAAAATGCCCCATTGCATTGGCCCTTAACCCATTACCACCCCACGTGCGTCGCTCCGCTGCTTTCGCCTTTCGCCAAGTCTTGGCTACTGAGCTGAGCTCCACCGAACTGAGCTGACACAAGAGCGCACGAAGGACAACGAGAACGAGCACCACCAGCACCACCAGCACCACCAGGACGAACTAAGCCACCCTTTCCTTCGCACTCGCGACTTTTTCTGTGCCACAGAGACAAAGCACACAAAAATAATAATAAATGATTGCGATTCGCGCAAGTGTGGTTGTGTTTGCTTTGCATGTGAGCTTCTTATTGTATAAGCGTACACTCTAAACTTTCTGGTCTTGCATTTGATGGCAAAAGAAATAGCCCATAAATTTGTGTAATATCTACAAACAGATATGAGTTATTTAAAATCCTTTGGGATATCTATTCCTTAAATTAATACAGTCTGCTTTGCAATAAGTATAATCTTTTGCGAGCACCAAGACTGTAAAAAGTTGTTCAATTCCAAAGTTGCCTCTCTGTTTGATCCTCAAGCTCTCGTAGTGTTTTGCGGTGCAGAGATAGGTGGTTGCATTGCAGATAGGTGCTTGTTGGGTGGCTGGTGGCGCCACCCACTGCACTTGTGTTTGTGCAGCCTGCATGACAGCGAATGGCTTTGAGTTTGTGCATGTGTACACCATGTTTGGCCTGATGATGGGGCCAGAAGATTCGAGCGTGGAAAGTTTACTTAGATGAATGGGTTAATTAGTATTAATGGGGACGTTCTTCAGTGGGCGAGTGGGCGTGGCAGCGTAAGAGATACACAGTGGGCGAGGTTTGCGTGACGTATCTGAAAAACTAATACAGTGTGGGTGGCGGGGAGCTTGGCAGCTTTTGTCATCGCCTTCGCCCAGCCATTTGAACCCATCAATCTGCGCGGCTCCTTTGCGATTTCAATTAACTTATCTCTGCTTATGCAGCATAAAATTATACATGAGAAAGTTCTGCTTCTTGGACTTTTTTTTTATGAATATGCATTAAAGTACTGCGTCAGCGTTGGCAATAAATTGCGAAATAAAAGCGCATGACTTGAGTTTCTCATTTGATTTGCGTTTTTATCTGGTGCATATTTTGTGCGATTCACGATGCGCCAGCGGCATCAACCCTTTCCCAAAAGTCCCAGTGAAAATCTGCGAAAATCTGTGAAAATCTGCAAAAAAACCCGATACTCAACTTGACACTTTCCCACTCTTTTTTTGCAGAACAATTCCACATCTTTGTCGGCGACTTGAGCTCAGAAATTGAAACTCAGCAATTGCGCGAAGCATTCACACCATTCGGCGAAATCTCGTAAGTATTAAAATGCAAATTTTCCATTTGCCAGTTAACTTGGAATTGCCTTTTTCCCATTTCCCCATTCTGCAGCTTTTATTTCGCATTTTCCCCCTTTTTTTGCGACAATTTTCCTGTCACACATTCTCTGATTATTGGCAGGCGCGTGTGGAGGAGGCTCGCAACTCGCTACTCCATAAAAAATTCATAACTGAATGGCAAAAAAAAGAGTGAATTTATGCAAATGCCACTTTGGCCGAACTCTTTTCGCTGTCTGTAAGTGTCGCCTCGAACAGCCAGATGGAGAGTGCGGCAAAAAGTCGGGACATTCAAATATTTAAGTTGCTATTTTTCGGCATGAAAAGGCAAAGTCACTAGCCATCCACAACCACTTACCACCCACGAGGACCCACCTCCTCTCCCGTGGCAACGACAGCATCAAAAACTTGGCTTAATTAACTTCTGTTTAATCGCAAAGTTTCGAGTCAAAATGTTAGTCCGTCTCCTGGGAGGAACTGCTCCTCCGCCTCCTCCACCTCCCCTTCCACCCACAAAAAGAGGTCCTGCGGCGGCTTATCAAAAATTACGCCAAAGTATTTGATTTTCGGATTTGCCGCTTGTTTGAACCGCGAAGCGGAGGATTCAGTCAGCCGGTCTATCAGCAATCTGCTCCGCTCATCTTCCAGCCGATGGCCAATTTAAATTTTAATAATTTGAAAATCATTCTAATGACCATGGCTTTGATTGGGCTAAAGGGTTTTCTGATTCGCTAATGAACTGGTCATGTCTTTCATCAAATGCCGTTGACAGCTGCAGACTTACGCAAAACTCTGCATCAGATCAATATGATACTTGGGCAAGTGTCTAAAAGTAGGAAATAATTCGAATTCAGAGTTCCAAGTAAGCCTGCTTATGCTTTTAGGCACCTTTAAATAGAACAAACACAACGCATTTACAAGCCAACCTCAGTCAGGAATAGAAAAGCGATACCACTCCAATCACCGCCTGTTGACAACCGTATCGATGGCTACGCATTTCAGTGCCATTGAACAATCGTTTGGCACCTTTGTGATAGCTATCGCTGACATCATTATCGCCGATACTCCCCAAAAACTCAGCCCACTTCGCCAGCTGATTATCTTCGAAGGATGTTGGACGAGGGAGGGAGGAGCCTGGTTGGTATGGGAGCGGCTTAAAGAACTTTATTTCTTATGGCTTTTCCTCGGGACTCGGAGTCGATCTGCTAGCCAACATGTCAAAACGCTTAACGCACAAAGTCGCCGGGATTCGGTCGTGCGGCTCCCAAGGATCAAGATGTCCCCGCTCCGGCTGTCAAAACTTTTATGCGTGCCTGGCGTTGTTTGCCCTTTTTTTTGGCTTTGTTTTTCTGGTTTTTTTTTCGGGCCATTGTTGCCCGGCTTGGTGTTGCCTGGTTTTGGCATTACATTCTGTTTTTTTTTTGGATTTTTGTCGGAGGTCCCAGCGCATTTTGTTTCGTTTTGTTAAATGCGCGGCGCGTGTGAATATTTAATAAGACCTGGCAACAAGCCCCAGAAGCCAAAGCCCAAAGCCCAAAACAAAGTCAAAGCCTGGCCAAAACGCCCGACGGGTTCGCTAGCTCGGCGTTTTACTTATAATAATCATAAAAAAAAAAAAGAAAAGTTGCCGGCCAGCGTCGCCAACTTCGCCGCCGCTGTGGTTTATGCTTCATAAATGAAAAGTAAACTGCCGGACCGGGGGTAATTGCCAAAGTTTCCTGGCAGCCCGCTTTAGTGCGGTGTCGAGGCCCCAATTGTCCAAATGAGAAGTCGTACAGCCGCTGGGGGAAATCAATTTGGGCCCCCGAGTCGGAAGTTGGCCAATTGGCACAAGTGCCGGGTCACTAGTGTAAGTGACCAAAACGAGCAGGTCCTTTTATCCCGCAACTGTAATGAGCGCAGTTCGATTTCGCTGAAGGGAAGCAACAAGATGGCTGAGGGGCAAATCACGGTTCGGAAGGCAGAAATTCATCAAGAAACTTTATCGTTATCTTAAAGCCCAGCGATGAGATGACCGTTACTGGTTTCTTGGCAGCTCAAATCCGGAAGCTGCCCCTTCGCAAACTGCAAGATAAATAAAAAGTTTCCAGCATGAGGTCAGATTTCTAATTTCCGAATTACAAGGAGCCACGCCCACTCCGACGCCCCCGCCCACGCCGGCAAACACAGACTGAATATATTTGTATTTTGTACTCGAACGGAAATATTTGAACACGTCGGCCAGACGGAGACGCAGGCGGAGTTCTCGGGAGATGTCTTTATTAGGAATTTGCATAAATTTTAAAGTTTGCCAGAACGGCAGGAGGCTCCCCTGCACAGAAATATATATTTAAGACTTAGTGAACTCTGTTCGAGACTTTAATGTTTACATTTCGTGTTATTTTCCTCTTTTTTTGCAGCGACTGTCGCGTGGTGCGCGATCCACAAACCTTGAAGTCGAAGGGCTATGGCTTTGTGTCCTTCATCAAGAAATCGGTAAGAGCCGCCAGTGGCATTAGCATATTTAAGTGCATATTTATGCAGTCGTGCGCAGGCTCTTTATTTGAATTCGACAATGCACGCTGCCAAAAATATTAAATAGTCTTATATTGCAAATATAACAATGCTCAGGAAATCTCATATAGATTTGGTATTATTTCTAAAATCAGGACTAAGAGTTGTGACATGTTATTTTCTGTTTTGATGGTAAAACTTGATTCAAAATAGATTTCCTTAGTTTTTTTATTATTTCTAAAATCAGGACTAAGACTTTGGACAAGTTATTTTCTGTTTTGTCGATTTACCTACTATTTAAAATGGATTTCCTTCGATTTATTATTATTTCTAAAATATATTTCTAAATATTTTCTGTTTTGACGGTTTTCTTACTATTTAAAATAGTTATTTTGATGTACCACTGAACTTATATTACTCTGAAAAAATCGTATTTATTTGAGTTGACATTATTCAAGTGAGATTTCTCACCGTGTCCTTCCTACTCCGATTCTGCTCCTGACCGTGTCTCTGTCTTCATTATCGCCCCGCAGGAAGCCGAAAGCGCCATTACGGCCATGAATGGCCAGTGGCTTGGCTCCCGCTCGATTCGCACGAATTGGGCCACACGGAAACCGCCGGCGAGTAAAGGTAAGGAAATCATGAGTGTCACTCCAGTCGGCAGGCCAACAAAGTTTCCGGTGTGCGTACACTCCGGACTTTCGACTACGGACTTGGGACCCCGGACTCGAACTCAAACTCAAACTCAAACTCGAACCGAAACTGCGGCTCGAACTGAGAGCCAGACGACGCGTCGTTCTTATTACAGGAAATTATGGCAATGAATGCCAAAGGTAGAGCGACACAGGCACAATGCCAGGGCCAAATGTGATGCTGGGAAATGGCTGGGAAAATCGAGGGAGAGCGGCGGCATTCAGGAAAACCGCTCGCTATTTATAAACGGCGCACAAATTTTCTGCCAGATTATGTTTTCTTAATATTTTTGTCCCTTCTGAAGCGCACGCGTTTAATTTCCGTAATGGCCTGTACCCAATTTGGTTTTAACTTTTTCAATTAGTCGACCCAGAAATAAGTATAGAAGCTACTAAGCAACAAAAAGAATGCCAAGAAAACCCCATTCAATTAGGCCCGGCAAATCAATTTTCATTTGGGCCCTGCGACACGCCCCCCAATTTATGGCCACGGATCGTTGTCAACCGCACAAACTTCCCAGGACCCTAAACGTAACTATATCCTATATCCTTAGGATGGGGCGTAATCATTATTAACAGCGGACAAACATGCGCGGGGGGGGCTTCCCCCGTTCGACGTTCATAAATCAAAACTTAACGCATATTTGCATGTTTTAACATAATTTTTATTTGTTAGACATACATACGCCGTGAGTGGAGGAGAGTCGCAGGGAATCAGATAAATAAATTTTGCCAACACGAAACTATTATCATAAAAGAGCCCCCTCGCCACAAGGCGAACATGGTTACACAACGAATATTTGGGCAAAATAGTTGGAGTCAAGGTGGAATTTATCGTGCAAAGGCCCGCAAACTGTTGAAGGGTTCGGAAAACGTGAAGGAAGAGCGGATGGGGCTTTCCCGAGTATAATATTTTCCCCTTTGCATTTATATTGTTGTCATAAAAAACGCCTATGAAAGCTTAAGCGTATTTTTATTGGTCTCATTGTTTATTTGACTCTGTCACGGTTTTGTCTGCTCCTCGCTATCTGCCGCTCTGTGGGGTGAAGTGGAATAAAGCTAAATTACCGGGCGGTAGTTGGCTGGCATTCTGTAATACAAGTTATTATTAGCAATTTGACAGCGAAATAATTTTGATTTTTTGATCGCCTTGATGGGCTGAGTCGGCGGAAGAAATGAGTAGCATACGATACGCAGCAGCTAAGGGCTTTTTATGTGCCGCTCACATATGCAAGGGTTGAAAAAATGGTATATGGCTGCATGGGTATAGGTTTTATGATACGCCTAGCGACTGCTGGCGAAACTTTACGATTTGTAGCACTCAACTCATTTCGCATTTGGCATTCGCATTACTTCATGTTTTACGCAGCCACTTTGCCCGATTCTTTTGGCAATCCCATCCAGTTGGCCCGGCATTTTTATGTTTTAAGCAGGCTGCACATTTCACGTCCGTCCGCGTTTAGTGGGCCACTCATGTGTCTGCCCCATTGTTGCTAAAGATTTACGATCCGGCGCAATTGCGCATTTTACAGTTGTGACAATTTTGGCGACGCTTTGCAATTTCGTCCTGGCTAAGAGTTTCTCAGCCCCCCCCCTTCTACTTTTCTACACCGGGTTTACAACAAACGCATTTGCCGCGAACCTTTTTTATGGCTTTGCCCTGGGAAAAAAAGGGAAAGTTGCCGCAAAGTTTTTACCTTTGTCAAACAAGACCTTAGACTCTATTCCGCTGCAAGCCCATAAATAAGGACCGAAATACCTGCAAGCTCATTATGGTAATAACTTAATTAACCAGAAACAATATGCCGACGACAAAAGACGACTGCGCTCCGTATGACAAATTTCTTTGCCGAAACTATTTGACTTTTGACCCGGCTGTGTGGGCGGTAGTTTCTTGGCCAACTCGCAGCAAAATATTTGCAAGAGTTCGAGTTAGGTGAACTCGTTACCGGCAGTCGCTAGTTGACGCAATAAATCAACATTTTATGCAGAGTTGCGCACAATTAAGTAAAAGTTTAAATGCCTCAATGCGTTCGGAAAAGGGACCTAAATATAGACACCCATGGGTGGATTTAAGTTTGTTTTTGGTTAATGTAAAAAAAAGTGAATTTTGTCTTTAAGTGGTAATACTTCATATGAATTGTTGCAAATATCATTAGGTATTTTTTTGCTGGAATCTAAAGTGCGTGCCAATTAGCATACTGCCACGCCCCTGCCAGACGCCCATTGGCATCACCCAGAAAAAAACGAGAATTTCCATGCATATTAATTACTTTTGAATTTGCTCAAGTGCTTGCCACGTCCTCCAAGCTCGTGTTGTTTTTGCCACGTGTAAAAATGTGAATTATTTATGTTAATGATTCGGTGATTATTTCATGATTTAGTTTTACATGCCTATAATTGCTCATTAAAATTTCAAATAGCCGGCAGAAATGGGAGCACCTGCCGGCGCGCCGTTGGCATTCGCATTCTGGCTATTTGGTCCCATAATGGCCATTGGACTGACCAGACTCCAATTATTTGTGTCTGCCCCACGACGCCCACGGATTGAAAATGGAAAATTGGGAAACGGGGAAATGGGAAATGGGAATGCACATGGTCTGTCGTAGACAAAAATGTGCGATAATTATGCCCATGCTCGGCTGAAAGTGCTTTAATTTGCTGCTGACATGAAACTTGGCCAAGTAACTCAGTCACGTAGGGCGTGTGCGAATATGTGCGGCTCGTTGGTTGAAGTTTTCAAAATTTAATTACACCTATTTAAAAGCGTAAAAAAGAAATTAGAGAAAACAAAAAGTGGAAATAATACGGGGCGAAAGGCAGGCGCACACAAACACAAAGCCAAGTGCAAATTAGTGAAACATGACGCTCTAAAGTATGCAATGTTTCTTACACGAGACCACTGAGAACAATTGTAATTCACTTGTCAAGCGCTTAGTGAAATATGGCTTATTGAAAGCCAAAGCAACACGCTGCGCTAAACTATCTCATTAAATATTAAAAAAAAATGTTAAACTACCTACACAGACAAGAGGTAATTTCTCCCAGTGCTCGTGCTCTGATTTGCGTGTGTGTGCGTGGCCAAAGCGCATACGTTTTCAAAAGTATTTGCGAGCTTGTTAGTTTTCCGTGTTTTTCGGCTGCACCCTCGCCTTGGAGCCGTGATTGTTGTTGTTTGGTGGCGTGTGTGTGCAGCAATCCTGTTGCATGTCATTGAGCCATATTTTTGTGTTTTCTTCTGCATGTTCGCTGCGCCGTCGAAGGCAAAACAGAAAGCAGTCGCACACACACACACACACACAAATCCAGACATCCTGCAATGGCATTTTGAGTGGTCCAAATGGAGGGATTTGGCCAGAAGTTGCCTGCCATTAACAGACCATGTTAAGTAGGCCTGGACCCAGAAGGTCCTTGCAGCATATCCATATGCCACCCCTTCGATCTGTGCAAGTGTCATTAGGGCCATAGTTGCCCACAATCGAGTGCGTGGAAATCCCAACGAAAAACTAAACAAAGACATAAACACGCAAGGCAGGCATTATTTTTAAAAGTGCAAATTTAGTTTTAACCTCAAAGGAAGTAATTAGTGTAGCTTTGCATACAAATACGTGCATTCATGGCGCATACGGAACAACAATCAGGGCAACGAGAACGACAACGACAACGACAATGTGGGGTTGTTTCAGACCATTACTATACATACATATATATGTGGTGCATATTGTGCAGGGCGTACAGTGAGTGCAAAAAGCATGGCGACAATAAAACGGCATACGAAAAATGTATATCCACAAAATACGTATAATAAAAAATGCAATAACAACCGCAACAATTTTAAATATGCACCGGCAACAACAAGAAAGCAACGATAAATGGTGTTGCACCACCGCCCCCCTCAGTCCACACTCACACTCACGCACACTAACGCACTCACACACACTCCTTCACCGAGTGGAGCACACGCATATAGGAACCGCACACACACAAGCATATTGACTAAGTGCATGCGGTTATTTTAATTACCAAAACGTTGCCGAGGCTGCTCTTTCGTTGCGTTGCTGCCGTTGTTGCGGGTAAATCCGTTAATTAATTTGCATATTAATCATGCAGCTGGCGAATAAAAAACCGACTCGAACAGAAAAACAGCCTTCCATAAATTGTCGTTCGAGGTGGCAACATTAAATCCAGATCCATCATACCAACACACACGCCGAGTAACACTTGCCTGCATTCCCATTTCATCACCCGCAGAGAACATCAAGCCGTTGACCTTCGACGAGGTCTACAATCAGAGCAGTCCCTCCAATTGCACCGTTTACGTGGGCGGCGTCAACAGCGCCCTCACCGCCCTCAGCGAGGAGGTCCTCCAGAAGACCTTCGCTCCCTACGGCGCGATACAGGAGATCCGCGTCTTCAAGGACAAGGGATACGCTTTCGTGCGGTAAGCCAAGTCTCCAGCATGTATTTAATTTGGAGCATCTTTGCGCTTTTAAGTGTTTCATCCTTGTATATTTGTATTTTCAAAATCATATTCATAGTGCCATATCCTTATCGCCATCCCACTGATATGCTCCATTCTAACGCTTTGCAATGTCTTATTAATTTCTCGCGTTTCCCCGACAGCTTCTCCACCAAGGAGGCGGCCACCCACGCCATCGTGGGCGTACACAACACAGAGATCAACGCCCAGCCGGTGAAGTGCTCGTGGGGCAAGGAGAGTGGTGACCCCAACAATGCGCAGACCATCGCCACCCAGGCGCTGAACAGTGCCGCCGCCGCTGCCGCCGGTTTCCCCTACGGAGTGGGCGCGGCCGCCGCCGCCGCCGCCTACGGACAGCAGCTGGCCGCCACGGGCTGCTGGTACTCGCCCACGCCCACCTACCCGGCCTCCTCGGCCACGGCCGCAGCGGTGACCCCGGCGGCGGCCAGTGCAGCCGCCGTGCAGAACCAGTTCCTGCAGGGCATCCAGGGCTATCACTTCGGCCAGTACGGCGGCTATCAGCAGGGATACATGGGGTGAGTGCGGGTGTGGAGGTGGGAGATTGGGAGATTGGGATTAGGGGCTCTATGAGGGGTGGCATCCATTGTCATTGGATTTGCGCGCAATAATTTTATTGGCTGATGTGTCTGCTTGCAACAGACACGCAACGTTTCACGGAGAGAGAGAAATAAGATATATTCCAAATCCATTTTAAAAATCGAATAAATTAACGTTTATAGAGGCCATTAAAATGTATCTTGCGCTTAACACGCCATCTTTTGTTGCGTATGTATTGCTCAACATGAGATTTATTTATGAAAGTAGCCGTATTTTCTCTACGTGCGTGCATGCAAATCCGAAAGCTGCCCGTTCCATCTGTGTACTTTGTGCAATGATTGAACCGCCACCAGGGATTGGGTACAACAACAACAACAACAACAACGGCAACAGGAACAGCAACGGAGGCGACACCAACAACGACAACATGACGGATGGGTGAATTCATTTGCTAATTGCGAAAGTTTTTCATTTGCACCCTCCTCGGTCTGCGGCCGTATGAAATACATTTCCGCGTCCGTCGTGCTGTCAACATAACGTGCTATTTGCATCGCAGTCGCGTAAATTTTGTTTTCCGCCGCCCCTCCAACTCGCCGCCCTTTTGGTTGCGAATCCCTTTGCCATCCGGCGACTATGCTACCCGTGATAATTGTGGCGCACACCACGCTCCGGGGATTTTAACCAGCGGATCAGCAAATGCAGCTGTTGTGCAGCAGCTCTGCACTGGGAGAAAGTTCCAGAACCTCATTGATTGAGCATTATTTAATTAACCTTAAGCTACCTGTAAAAACTCTCTACAAGCACTAGAAATGCTTTCTAGGAAGGGAAACCCTTAGTGAAAATGATCTGCCTAGCTTTTCTCCGCGTGTACTTATGTGCGCAAACTATCGACTCTCGTTGCAGCATGGGCGTGCAGATTCCGGCCACCTGGCAAGGCGTCACCCAGGCGCAGATCTCACCTGCCCAGCAGCTGGCAACGGGCGTGGCCGGCACCGCCATTCCGCAGGCCGCCGGCGTGGTGGCCTATCCGATACAGCAGTTCCAAGTGAGCCCCCAGGTAGGTGCCTCCCACTCAGATACAGATACAGATGCAGATGCAGATACAGATACACGGCCACATAGATACACTCGTTGCCCGACACATTGAAACATTTTTCGTGCATCTCCACTCCGTTTGTTGAAAGTTCTGAATGTGTTTTGGATGCCATTGTAGTTCGCTCGGTTCGATGCGATGCGATTCGATTCGATTCGATTCGACTCGATTCGATTGAATTCGATGCGATTCGATGGGATTCGTTCGGTTCGTTAGGGTGTGCGATGGGTTGTTTGCTCGGCAGCTGTGTGTGCACTCGAAATGCGTACATATTTCTGGCTGCTATCAAAATATTCCATCGCCATTCGAATGCCTTTGCCTGCTAATGTTATTCTTTTGCATTTGAATATCGAATGTGGACAGAGACAATTGTAATCTGTCAATATGCATGCATGCTTTTGATGAAACAACATTATAGCGAATAGGAGAGGGTGTAAAACAATTGAACACAAAGTATATTGAATATTAAAATAAACATTTGGATAATAAATACTGAAGCCGTTTCTAGTGAAATATGTATAGTACTCTTTTGCATGTATGGCTTAGTAATCTTGCCATAAACCATTTGTGGCACTAGTGCTATCTATTTTACGTGTAATATATTTGCCAATTAGCTTGTACCCTTTATTTGTTTATCTCGTGAGCTCAAATATTTCGAACAATTTCCAACAATTATTTATGCATCTAAAATTTGTGTGTTGTATTGAGAAATAAGCCACGTTTTTGCATAACAATTACTTTTATTCCGTCTACTACTTTTTTCCAATTCTTACTAACACCCATATTATTTTTTAAGGTTTATCCTCTACTCTTGCAGGCACAGTAAACGCCAAAAGCCAAAAACTGAAAATCCAAGCAAAATTTTTAAGTACAGCCGCAATTTTCTGAACAGAAACAAAACCAAACTGAGCTGTAAATAAAATGCGAAGCGCAGAACACACAAATTACAAAACAATTGATGGCATCTTGAAGTTTGGCGATTTTAGAGAGCTGCACCCCAGAAACAAAAAGCAAGCGCGAATGCAAAATCCGAAATCCCACACCCACATGAATATATATCTTTATATATATATAAAACTAGAGCATAATTATCTGTCAACGCCCGTTGAAAAAGCAAACGGGGAAGCAAACAATTATTATGTATATGCCAACAAAAAAGAAAAAAGAAAATGAAAAGAAAGCGAGCATATTTTTAACCCTAGTTGCTTACACCACCACACACACAAACACACCTCGAACCACATATTTTAATGCTTTGTGTAATTGTGTTGGAGCACAGCGCGTTAAAAAACCAACAATTATTAATTTAATAAGGCAGCGGGAGAAATTGCGGGCCAGGAATACAATTTGGTCGAAGGAAAACATAAATCGAGTGGGATGTTGCAGCCTAAATCAAACATAGTCGGGGCATTAAATTAAAATAAACATAATTAAAAATGCGTTAAAATTAATTACGCGCACACAGGCAGGCTGACACATGTATTCCAGCAAATATGTATGTGTGTGCGTGTATGCAAACAGTCCTTAACCCCACATCATCCCTCTCACAGCAGGATCCGCATCATTTTGCATTGCCTACTTTTGTGCGCAGTTTGGTTTTAGCTTAGCACAGACACACACTTGTACACTACCTTCACTGGGCGAGTGAAAGCCGTTTCTCATTCAGCCAGCCCTTGCACACTATAAAGTGATTAGTGTGTGAAATTAAAGTGGTATAAAAGACAGGAAATTAGAGGGAGCGCGACTTTCACTCACCCGCACACACTTAGCACTAGTGCCTAAAAACTATAATAGATGATACTGCTTAGAAATAACTGCCAGTTATCGGGCCAAGTGCAGTTAATTGGCCAACTAGCTCGTCATGTCCTGCTATCATTTCCTATATAGAATGCAACTGAAAGTTCACGCACTCACACCGATTTGTGATCGATCAGCAATCGAAAGACAGGTTCCTACACACGCACACTCACACGGTCTCACCAGCACTCGCAGTTCGAAGTATCTGAATATAAAATAATCATATAAAGTACAGGAACGTCCAGCCCAGCCAGCCCTGACCAGTCCATAAATTGCTTAAAGTTCACAACCTAATTCATTATGACTTCTCGCTTCACTTTCAACAAGCGCTTCAGGAGAGCCATGTACAAAGCAGCCGCAAAAATGTTTCAAACTCCCTCCAAACAACTTACTCTTGAAAACACGCCAGTACTAATCCATGTTTGTACATGTTACGTTTATGGTTTTATTTCAGTTGCCAGATGAGGAGTGGCTAGCTGCAAATTTGTTGTGTTAGTTCTCTGTTGTTTAGGCCAAACGAAAGCGATAAGGAAACCCAAAGCAAACCAAGTCAAATCAAATCAAACCGAACAAAACCAAACCAAACCGAAACCGAAACCAAAACCGAACCGATAACCAAGCAGAATATCCAAGTAGTTAAAAATATGTATGTGGTATGAGTACGAGTTAAATATATATATATAGAGAGCGAGAGAGAGAGCAGAACTCCCATAAACAAGTAAAATATATTGAAAACAATCAAAGTATGCCATCGAATGATATTAATTGATATTAGCTAATCGAGCATAGCCGTAATAAAGTAGATATTATCGCCTAATCATATAAGCCAATAAACACACTTGCAGCCCAAAAACCGAGACAGTTGAGCAAGACATAGGACAAGATATCCGAAAGGCAAGCATTAATCAACTTATAGACAACACGACACACTCACACGAAGCTATAGGGATCGAGAATACATAGCATAACATGAATGTGAAACATAAAAATAGTCATATGGTAAATACAACTAAAAGTGTAGAGTATATTAATGTAAAGTGGTAAAGTCTAGACTTAGAGTTGGTTGATAAGTACATAGAGTATACAGCATATGCATTAAACAAACATGCTTATATAACATATATATACTTATATATATATATACAAGCCGTATAGAGAACACTCACACCACGACAGCGCCCACTCACACAGAAACATGCATACACTCACACGGTGTTTACATACAACATAGAGAAGAAAAACTAGATGCGAGCAACGTATGGTAAATGATATTTATTGTTTATTGTGTTGTGTGCGTTGGATGATAAATCACAAATAGATGTTCAAAATGAAAACCAATTAAAACGATGACAACAACAAGAACAACAGGCAGAAATCCCAAGTACTAGAAATAGCAATAAGCATACGTAACGTAATCGCAATCGCATCGTATCGTCATACGTATCGGACAATTAAGCTGCAAAGGACGACAGGACGTAAGGACGCAAGGACGCAAGGACGAGGCTTGATTTGCATTTGACACGCCCCAATCCCCAGTGAATTGCAGCGTGGAATTTGTTATGTCATTTTTTAGTAGAATTTTTGCATCAAACGCAGCAGAGCATTTAGTTACACACACGGGTGTGGCCCTAGCACCAGTAAATGTCTATCGATAATACCCACACACGGATACAAATACAAATACGGATGTGTAGTATTCGTTGGATGCGCTCACTCAGTACGAAAAGAGGGGTCGGGGATTTTAGCCAAGGATCTGAGGATCAGCAGGACACGCAGTCCTATGGGGCAATCGTACTGTATATTTAAATGTTTTTAGCACTAGAATCTAGAGAAACTACGAGCCGCATGGCATGCGACTTAGATGTAGATGTGATTTTAAAGTGGGCGGGATTGGGCCGGATTAATAATGCAAGCAAAGTGAAGCTGACAAATGCATTTTTTGTTGTTATTTTATTTTCTAGAATTTTGTTAAGTATAACGAAAATGCGAGAACAAAAATTTGAAATGTTGTTGACCAAACGAAAAATAAAATAATCTTAAACACAGTTTTGCAGAAAACAAAAATTTGGCTAGGAAAACAAAGAAATTAAAAAACATTTATAAGTGAACAAGTTTATAGTTAAGACGAAAAAAAATACAAAAAAAAATATTATCGGTTTGTTTGTTAATGTTTGCGCTACATATCAGTAAAGAGTTAAAATGGGTAGTTGGCACGTAGAAATAGTGAAGAGTTGGAAACTAAATAAGAATTAACTGTGGATGGTAAGAAGCATAAAACAAGCTGACAAAGACGACGAACTAAATAATATACAAGTATAAAAGAAAGCATTAAAATATATTAATAACAGCTGTAACTGTATGTATTTATGTTGTGTAACTATAAACTGTGCTAAGTCATTTATATACGTCTATATATATATATATATGAACATATACAAAGTATTTATACACATGACAGCCCACGTCACATATACAGCAGAGAAGTGCTAATACTGGCAGAAGGATTTGCCCATTCAAAAGCAGAAACAGAAAACAGAAAACAGAAACAAAAACCAAAGCACTACAAGGATAATGTGTAGCTGCACTATATTGCCAGAAGATGATTATTATTATTATTATTCATCGACTCAGGTTCTGTTCCGATCATAGCCCGTTTCCACCATTAGTCAAGCATAATTCAATTCCGAGTCCTTCGCTTTGAGTTACTAATTCGGTTTGGGTTCAAAGCCAACTACACACTGAAACGATTGCAGTTATTAACCATAAACTACAATTACCAATTAGTCAATTCGAAGTGTAATTAACTGGAGTGCTGAAACAGGAGCAGTTAGCGAAATTTACCACACGCAACGCGAAAAGCAACAGCATGCGATGCAAATGGAAGCACATAGCATAAATTAAACTAAACGGGGGGAGAACAAATTTTAACGAGATCCAATTGCAGCAAGGCGAAACCGAAAATCAATCAAATAAAAGTATTATCTAAGCTACAAACAATTATATATATTTACATGCAGGCAGACCCTTCAACGTGAATGGCAGTGCATACTAGTATCCCAGTTCTGAGTGTGTGTGTTCTCGTAACTTTAATTACACACCAGCAAGGATAGGGCACAGGAGAGTATGATTTGCAGATGCAAATAAAAATCAGAAATAGTATAGTAAACGTACTAGCCACGATAGCCGTTGGAACCAAATCAAATTCAGCATCTACTGAGCAGGCAAACAGGATATTTTTGTGCAATAAACCAGGCGGAATGAAGGGCATGTTATGCAATTAAAATTACACTAAGATTGTAAACAAATCAAATGCAAATGTAGAAAAAATCAAACGATGAGCAAACAACCAAAAGCTGCTAACAAAACAAACATCAAAAGGAAAACAAAAGCTAAAACCGAAAAAGTTTTGAAAGCCATTCGACACAAGGACAGAACACATTCACACTCACAGATGCAGATACAGCTACAGATACAGATACAGATACAGATACAAATACAGATACAGCTACAGCTACAGCTACAGATACAAACTCAAACATAGATATCGATATTATACGAACACAATATATATATATACATATATATATACAGACGTAAAATATGATAAGTAAATAGCAAATAACTAAAGTAAACAAAGTATAGATATCGACTGCAGTATTGCAAATATTTTGTAGAAATTTAAGCATGTTTGAGTGTGTTTTAGGACAAGGAAAACACAAAGGCGTAGGGCAAACAGGATGAAAAAATCGAAAACATTGTAGCGGAATATAAGGGCCGAAAACATAAGCAAACAACCAAAACAACCAAACAAAACAAGAACAAAGCCGAAAATTGAAAACCTAATGCATAAGCTAAGTATTAAATATACACTAAAACAGAAATATATATACAATTTAAATACGGCATCACCAGTCACACAGACATACACACATAAAAACGGCATTTGCATAAGAAAACACACAAGTGAAACAACGTAACGAATATTAAAAGAGTTAATCAAATTAAGCATAACAAGAAATTCAAAAGAAAAATATTTATAGTTGAAAACAAAACAAACAAATAAAAACCCGGGCAATTTGGTTGCGTATTTGTATACCAACGCGCCAAAGAAACCCGAATAACCCGGCAGCGAAATGCAAGCAAAATATTTTACAACAATGTCAGCGAAGCGTGGAGGTCACCACCTCATCGAGAAGCTCTCGCAGCAGAGGTGACCCCGACCAGTGGAGGAAGGTTTTAGAGCTAGACGCTGGATGGCCATAAGAGGCGAAATGCATAGAGAAATTATACTTAGGTGACAGCAAAAAAAGAGATAAAAACACAAATAACACAGAAACAAGAGTGTAATAACAGGCGAGACGGAAAACAAAGAACAACTGCAACATAGAAATGATGAAAATAAGTAAATATACCGAATAAACAACAAAAATTATATTATGTATACATAAATATATTGAAAGAAAACAAATAAAAACGAACAAAAAAATTTTGTAAAAATAAAACTTCTGCCCTGTGTTCTTATTTCACAATATTTCAGCAAGGATTTTCAAGTTACTCGTAGTTAAATTTGAACTTATAGTTTTCATATTATTTTATAACATTTATTAGCTTTTTAAAATAAGTTTTTTTCTCCTATTTAAAGTCCGCATTTTGAACGCCGCTGAACAGTTGAAGTATCGGTTCCCCGAGCACTTTGTACTGCCATAAAATTCAGTCGAGATGATTTTGCATTATGTTGTTGTTCTGCCTTATGATCTCTGCATATGGCTGTTTTCCCGGCTGGTTGCTCATTTCCCCCGAGGCTTTTGGCCATCGCTATCTGCTGTTGTTTTTCATCTTCCCTGCTTTTTTTCGCCGTTGAGGAGCGCTGCTTTTCCATTTACACAGGTGACACGAAGAAGACGTTCTGCTACTTATGCGTATGCCTCACAGGTGAGTTCGTTAAAAACATTTATGCCCCGGATGGGGCACACACACACAGGGCACACATACACCGTGGCAGCTGCTTCGCAGTTGGGCCGCCAAGGATGGATTGGCATAACAAAGGCAAAGGACAACACGTGCAACAATAACAAATCAAAAATTTACAAAAACAGAACGACGACAAAATGCTGAAGGGAAAGTGGAGGGCAGCGGAAAGGGATGGCGGAAAATGCAAAGCGGAGAAAAATGTTTAAAACATATTTTTGCGCCAATTCTTTTTGTTGTTTGCTCTCCCTTTTTTGGCGTCGCGACTGCTGGCTCTTGTTTCACATTTTTGCCGCAGGTTAAAACCAGCAGACTCACACTCACACATACGAGTACCCATTTATATTTATTGCGTGCGTGTGAGTGTGTCTATTATCACAAAGATTTCGAGCACACACACGCGCAAGGACGCTGAGATGGCTGCATTTTTAAGCAACATATGCGTTACTTTCACTTTCGCCCGACTTGCGTGTGTGTGTGTGCGTGTGCGTGTGTGTGTCTGTGTTAGCTCTCACAAAGTAATGGCGCTATGTTTGATTTGCATTGCAAATCGGCGTAATTTTGCAAAATGTCTTCCTATAAGAGAAACAATATGTTTTATTTACTTACATTTGACTTTGATTTCACTGTGTCATCCGCAACCCTCGTCGGATTCCTTTCGCAGGCGTGCAAATGTTGGCCCAAGTTTCCTTGGCCTTAAAAAAATACAGCAGCATAAAAAGTGAAATCCAAGCCATTGCTTATTTTAACTTGGCTCAGAATACAGATGGGGGCGAAGGGAAAAATAGATTGTTTGACTAGGAAATGCTGTGTACATACGGATAAGTACATTTCGCCGGCGAAGTTTTTCCATGGATATATTTAGACTCGTACGAAAAATAGCAGCTGTATCTTAGAAGGGCTTCGCCTATTTGCCGACTTCAATTCGGAAATAATACTGTTTAAAGGCTGGCAAATTGTGGCTAACCGTGGGCAGATGAGAGCGTAGGCATCAATAAACAGAAACAAGAACGATATATAAGTAGGATATGGGTAACATATCTAGATTTTCAAGCACAAAAATCTATGCAAGTATAAAGCAGCCTCATATTATGATTATATAAGGTTAGCTCGTTTTCAAATGCCACAGCTTAGCCTTCCACGCCTCTCCAAGGCATGTTTAGTTAATAATTCCCATGGCTAAAAGCCTGTCGCCTCCACTAAGACGACACGGCAGCAAGAAGCATTTTCTGCATAACAGGATATTTGCAGAATATAAAGAATGTATCAGCAGCAGCTGCAGCCGGTTGCCAGGACGAGGGGGGGAAGGTCTCAACAGGACGTGCAGCTGTGCGACGGAAACCGGAAATGCGCAAATAGCAGGGCACTGAGGATTTTTACGCTCAGCACGATTCCGCACGGCAACGGGGCTGTGGCCGCATGCAGAGCTCGGTGCCAGCTGAGTGGCTCCATCTACATCTCCATCTACACAGCATATATCCCTATATCCTCGTGCCAGCAGATTAGACACTCAACAGGACGAACGGCAGCGGAGCAACAATGCAGCTGGCAGGCGACAATGCCACTTGACAGCAGATATGCATTTGTGTTTTGTCTCCGCTCAGATGTCGTGACACATCCTGTGCCCCCCAATGTATGGCAGCCTTTAATTGGGTCACTCGCAAAGCGGTTGTGCGCCAAAGAGTGTGCCAAAGTTTCCAATGCACGAGATCATTAACATATACAGAACCCTGTTATTTATGGCCAAGAACTTTTTATTTTTGTTGGCATATTACCGGACGGCTATGACTGCTAACTGATACAGATGCCACCCCAAGGAAAACACGTGCCCTCCTTTGCGTCCAACGGGCAACCACAATTCGGGACATAATGAAGCAAACAGGCAGGTCCTGCCCACCGATGTCCTGCATCGGTACAAGTAGCCGAATATCCTCGGCTCATAACACAAAACAGA